CCGCGAAGAACGTTGCCTCACTCGCGCGATTATTCTTTATCCTATCATTAAACTCGCGTCGGAAACTCTCTCGGGGGAGGGGGGCTCGATTGAACTTGGATTTTGAAACATCGCAGCGAATTAATTCTGTGCCACGAACACACAGGCGTTACGAAGGCTCGTAACAAGGGCTTCACGAAGTCGCAGTTCCTTTGTTCTTTAAGTGGTGTATTTGTCGCTCGCGATGGAAGCAGGGGGTACCCGACGTTTTTTTATCGGAAACAGTCCAATTCACCCACTTCACGGTGGTCTAGATCGAAATTTAACAACTCGTACATTTATTTAGCACAATCAATCGAAAACTTCGAAACTTTATTTAAGTAGATAAAAGAAGTGATTTTTATTAATTTACTCAAGAATAAGTTGATGCTTTTTTGGAAAATAAAAGAAATTCTTTTTCACCAGTTGTGCTGCTAAATTTTGATTCTGGACCATTGTGTCCCTTCGTTAGTCGTTCCGAGGCCTGTGCACGGTGCACGTACCCAGCTGCTGCGAATGCTCCGAGATATTTTGCATTCCGTACGGAAATACCATACTCCGGATATTTTCTAATACTCTCCGGATCCTTAACCGTGCTCTAATAATAGATCTCCAAGCGTTGGAAAGTCCCAATTGTCTTCCTGGGTCGAGCTTCCACCGCGGAATTTCCTGCGGATTATCCCAGGATTGCGCCTCCTCTTTGAGAAATCGTGTATGTATGTATTTCATGTTCGAGATTCTATTTCGTAATTTCGGAATCGAAGAACCGCACCTCTCGTGGTCCAGAGACGAATCGAAGGTGAAAGTTGGAATACCAGCGTTGATCGTGATACAGATGAAATTCACAAGGGAAGAACCCCAACTGTCAATGTTCAAGAATATTTAGCCGGCAAATCGGAGGTCCTAAGATCGATTCCCGTTCACCGAATAATATTTTTTTTTCATTTTGCCTAAGAAATTTCAATAACATTGACTTGTACTCATAGTATATCTTGAAGATTCGCAACTTCAATTGTTTGTATCATTAAAATTATCGAGTGTCCACACCTAATATTTCACACATATAACATTAGAACCCTGTATACTATCATCTTACGAAACCCCGTTAAATGGAAATCGTTCTTTGTACCCGTTCGAATAGGTAAATTCCAAGCGTGTCACCCGGTAAAAATCGATCGTTTACGAAGAAATCGAGCTTCATAGAACCGTGCGCAGGTACCTGTAGCTGTACACGCTGGCATCTGGTCAGGTGTCGCAAAGCAACAGTTGGCTAATCGTGTTGGATCGTGGTTCGATGACGTTCCATTCCGCGAGTTGCCACGGGAGAACAATACGTTGACGCGAAAACGTCTTTCTGTCGCTGACGACAGAAGATCCTATTATAAGAGGGGATATAGAGAAGATATATCTGGCGTTCGATGGAGAACGCTTAAATATTGGAGAGTCGTATTTCCCTGGCTGGCCTTTTATCTCTCGATCGATACGAATAACGTCGACGGATCAAGTTCTCCATCCTTTCGTCGATCGATACGATGTTTCAGCTGGTTCACCAGGCTCTCTGTATTCCCGTCGAACCGTGCCACGTAAATACATCACCGTGGTTCCTTGCACTAGCAACGTAATATAACGATGGAACCGCACGCGACGTAAATTCCATTCGGCGGCGGTCCGTAAACCGTTTCGATCGAGCGGACGTGCGTCTCGGTTAAAGGAGAGATAGCCTTTTACTTTTCACGGAAGCACGAACGGATGTGACGTGTATACAGTCGACGAATATTCGAAACCTCTCTTTTCCTCGTTACCCCGTCGCTGTGTTCCTACGAAAATTGATCGTACGCTATAACGATGTTTCCATGATTTCTACCGAAACGTAAAATACCGGTATTTTCGGTTGAACCTTCGGCTTATATAACCCTATATAAGGCCCTACTCTTATAGAAACCAAAAAAATACCGGTATCAAAATCATACCGGTTTAAGTCCCTGGCGACGACAGAGAGACTGTATGTGGTGAGAAAGAAATTTTGAGGAACTTCGAAGAATTCTTTCAGGAACAAGTTTCTTGAAAATTTCGATTCTTTGAAGCTTCGAATATACTATTAATCCCTTGGCACGGGATTGAATCGATGGACAATCACGGTCATCTCGCGGGCACACGGAACGATCGTTTAAAAGTATGAGTCACGTATCGTACAGGGTACATATATTGTTTTCTCGTGAAACTTTTCGAACCATCTTCCATTGCGTTTCTCCACCAGTGGATTAGGAGAATACCGGAAAGATTTCTGGACCGGTGCCAGACGGCGTTCCCCGTTAGCCAGGCGGCCCCGTTAATTTTATTTGTTCCACGATCGGTATTCGCGTTTCTCCGAGAATTGTACCGGAAGGATTCTATGTTCCAATCGCGGGTATTAGAATTTCATGGAACTCCGCCCATTTTCAACGCCGTATTCGTTCCGATGCTTTCCTATAAAGTAGACACTCCTCCACCTTGGTTCAATCGGATCGATCGATCGTTAGATTTTTCGAGCGACAATGTTCAGTGGGCGACTGTAGTCGGTTCCAATTAGTTATTTCCTCCCCGCCCAAAAAGGGTTAATTCGGCTAGACAGCTCGCGATCGATCCTGGCTCTGTGACCTTCTAGTGAATTTCTCCCGACGGATTTATTCGGGGCGAATCGGTAAACTACTCGCCGCCCCGCGAAAGTTTTCCTGCGTCGACGACGACGTGGCCGTGCTGCGATGTTCGACCTTCGTCGAGGGACCTTCGACGGGGAACTGGGTTACGGAGGAGCAAGGGCGCGGGGCCGATACGTTGTAAAGGTACTCTAAGGCCCCCGATAATTGTCACTACAGACCCTCTGATGAGAGTCACGAAATACCTATAGTTTCGATTGGAACTGTCGCTTTTTGGTTTACATTATTCTCACTCGTACATTCCGTTTCATCGTATCCCTTATTAATATCGACGATACAGACACGTACACTCGACCCTCGATTTAGGCGGAGTGTTTGCTCCATCTGGTTCTTCTATACGCGGATAAAAACCGTCTAAATGTACGAAAAAAAAATTCTCAAGAGACTAGGCGGTATAAATTATAAAAATATTTATTTTAAAAAAAAAAGCTAAATGGAACGAGTACTCTGCATAAATCGAGGGACGAGTGTACAAAGAATTAGAGAAAGATCTTCGTTATACAGACACGTACAGAAAACCAAGGAAAGATCTTCGTTTTCACCTGTCGAAACGGTGGATCCGTCGGTCTTTCCACGCTTGGAATGAAACACTCGGTGTTCGTTACGACTGCGCGCGCTCGCGCGGTTTCCGACACCGTGAAAACGCGGTAAAGTCATCCCGGAGAAACACGATTCGTTCGGATCTATGTCAGTGAGAACGATTTAAGTTTCTACGAGATTTCTCCCGGTATTCCTGACACGTACCCCGTTCTAGAGTTAACTCGCTGAATCTATCCCAGGGCTCCGTTCGAACGCACTGAGAACCAATGGCGAACAGGAGCAACAGTTGAAAAGCTGATCGAGCGAGAACATCACCGTCGAATTTCTTTCTATACGATTATTGTCCTGGTCCGGACCCCTGTTCGGGACAATAATCGAGAGTAGACTGTAACTAACAAGGGAAGGCACCGAAATGTCCCCCTCCGATTTTGATGAAACTTCGTACGTCTGTTAAGCAGTCAAAAATAAGGGATACATATTTTTTTTTATCGGCTCAGACGCGACTTTAAGGGGTGAAACCACCCTTCGAAGTTTCGATCCGAAATTTTTTTGTTACAAACAAATTATATTTTGGACAATTTGTTAGCACCATATTATTGTACATAAAAAACCGCAAACCTCGTCCATTAGAAGTTTTCATGTATTTCCTCTGGTTTTCGAGATAGTACTTTCGGGTCGAAACTTCGAGGGTTGGTTTCAACCCTTAAAGTCGCGTTTCAGCCGATATAAAAAAATACGTATCCCTCATTTTTGACTGGTTCACGGACATACAAAGTTTCATGAAAATCGGAAGGGGATACTTCCGTGCCTTCCCTTCTAAGAGATGTTGCTTAACGTTCCCATGCAACTGAAAGAAATATCGTTGGTTTTCGAATTCCAAAGGAAACATCATGAAAAATGTCAGCGTAAGACACCTCTCCTTGTAAGTGTAAAATGACTAACTATCCTTCGAATTACGGTCGCCAACTCAAGGGTTGTTACCACACAGTTCTACGCTTAAATCCACTTCGGTTCCACTCGACAACCACCCAGGTTACCCGTTTCTCTCCCTCGTACCCTTAAAACTAACAGCGCATAATGTATTCCTAAAACAAGGCAGGCGTGTCAGGTTTTCAGCACGACATCGTTGTGCAGCGACCATCCGGTTCTACGAATGTTGAACCTGCCGTGAATCAACGTATACTAAAGATTACGTGTTTACAACAGGTCTCGAGTTGTGCGTTTCTCCCACGTGTCACGGTGTCTTAAGAAATTCTCAAATGTCTCTATCTCCTGTTTCACTCTGTCATATGCAAACTGTGCCGACGAATCCCACAGGATTGCCCGATGAAATTCTCGATGATCGATCCCTATCTGAAACCACTCTTCCCCAAAGGCATTCCCGTCCATTCGATTCACCTAATTCACCCTGCTTGGGTGCCACACGGGGTTAACTCGTTACGGTGAATTTAAATCAGCCACGCGATTACGAAACCGTGGCCCGTGTTTCGAGGTCGTGAGGCATCGAGGGAAATACGTTACCGTAAATTAATTTATACGCCGAGCCGGCCCGATTCATTCCTTCCAGAGAGTAGGCGACGACGCCGTACACTGGAATCCCCCGTATAGCGATAAGCCTGTTTCCGATTCAACTGTGCAGGAGAGAACGGTTGCTTTTCCTCGGGACAATAGAGGAAGGGAGTGAGCGTTTCTTCGCCTTGAACCATGACCTTCCCGTGGAATCGGCGTTCGCCGAATAAGGGACACTAGAGAGAGAGAGAGAGAGAGAGAGAGAGAGAGAGAGAGAGAGAGAGCGAGAGAGAGAGAGAGAGCGAACCAATGCGTCACGAGAGCCTCCGTGTGGCGAACGAGATCCCAGCGATAGATTGCTATGCAAATCACGTGGGGGTGGTGGTGGTGGCAAAAGGGGGGATAGAGGAAGGTCGACAGAAAATAGTCTCTGTGGTTTGCGTGGGAGATACAGCGGAGGAGGGCTCTCTCTTTCCATCGAAAGAAAGTCTTCCCCTTGGAGAGGAGATGTGATACCAAAAAAATCGTAGGGGGAATATTTTTCGGTGGAAAGAGACACGTGTGCCGCGTGTTAGAACCGTACAATTAGAAATCGACCATCATCCCCGGGCGAATTCTGGTCATTCTATGTATAATCCGAGTCCTGGAAACTGTTGCTCGCGAGAATCTGTCGTCGAAAGTGGCGAATGAAAAGCGACAGTGGGAAACGTCGAGAGAGAAATTCCCCCCCCCCTGATTGTGCTCCTTGCCGTCTATCGTGGCTAGAAAGTATCGTACGTACTATACACGTTAATTCGTTTGCGTCCTGATTCACGGAGGCTAATGCACAAATCACAGCAGAGCCGGGCAAACTAATTATCTAGATAAAAAGTTTCGAATAACGAATAAAAGATAAAAAATATTTCGTCGTTTTTCATTGTTTAAACGTAGAAATTTCACGTTTTATAATAAAATAATACTTCTTTATGACTGGACCGACATTTTGTCGAACAATTATTTAATCTCATTAACTGTTTAATGCTCAGAAGGACACCCTTAGATACTGCTGCTTTTCACGGTGTATTATCCGAATAAAATTCTGCCCAACTCTGACAAAGAGAGTCGAATCACCGTGTGGTCGTGGAAGAAATCAGGAGGGAACGTGTGAACCGTTGGGGCCCCTCTTGTAGGGAGAAAAAAATACCGTGAAGGGGCGGGGGGGTGTCGGGGGAGAGAATAGGCGAGAGCAGAAGAGGGCACACACCGACGATAATGGACAATGTCCTGTCGTCCGGTGTGTCCGTCCCGGGGAGGCATATGGACGTCGAGAGAGGCGAGAGGAACGCGTAGGATCTGACACCGGTTCAATGTGTCGTGATGAGGAAACACCCGATTACAACGCTCTACACACGGGCCACTCACGGTCCTGTATATGTTCCTCGGAAATATTTCTGCGTGTATCCATGGGAGGGAGAGAGGGGGAGAGAACGATTATATCGATACTCGTTCGATCGTGTAACCCCGTGTGCACATATTTGCACGATAGAACGGAAAGGGTGTAGTGTCGTGTGTAGAGGGTCTGGGGGGGGGGGCAGTTAACGTGGAGATGGAGGGATCCTGCGTGTGTCACCGAGAAGCTTACCCTGATTTTTATCGACTCGAGAGGGGTCGTGTTACACGAGTGTCTTCTTTGAGCGTGTATGTCCTTCCCGCCGATTTAACCCGTTCAAGTCCCCAGAGGGGAAATACGGTGATTTTTACAGCGTATAATTATTAATGGTACTTGTAAAAGTTTCGGGAAGGGTTGCCGAATTTGGAACATCGTCTAGGTTGGACTACTTTAATTTATTATGCGTGAACAATTTGCGTTGTACGATAGACAGTATATGTTGTTTATGTGCTATGTTAGTTATTGCAATCACTGTAAGGCAAGGGCATCCTGGAGTGAGTATCTACAGTATAAGAATCGTCAAGATTCCGATCACAAGTAACAGGTGACACTGTGTCTCGGTGGTATCTTGAAGCCTTGTATATAATTTGCCAGTTATACACGTATTCGACTAATTACACTTAATTACGCTTGAGATAACACACCAGAGTTAACGTGTTTCACCGCAGCAGTTGATGGTTAAGAACTATCCGTTTAATATACATGATTACTTCGTGGCGAGCGATTATAGTCGCCGGTAACGTCGAAAGGGTTAATTGTCCACGTTCCCGGTTCCGTTTCTATTTAAATTCGTGTTCGATTCGATGTTGAAAAACTTTCGAAAATTCTTGTTCGATTCGACAGCTAGAACACCGTCTGATTATCCGTGATTGCATCGCCGTTGAAGGTCCACGAACAGTTACGAAATACCGAACTGGGCGACGCAACTCGTCGAACCAGTTCCGAAAGTCGAGTGAAAATTATCGGAACGTACAGGATCGAGACTCGTGTGACGGCCAGTTTTTAAGTTGCTCGTCTCTTTCGGTGATCGTGTATTTTTGGGAATCATGGAAGACGAAAACTGGCGTTATTATGTAACGGAACGAACTAAAATTCTAGAACGCCCACGGCATCACCGAGCGTGCTGCGTGGCAATCGATTTCAATGCGGCTACCGCTGTGTCCAGAACGAAATGCAATTCAGGAATCGTTGTTCTTCTAACGGTTTTTTTTTTTTTTTCAAAACGAACACGTTCCCAGGTGAAATTTCTGCGTCTACACGCTGCGAGCGTTCCCTGGAGCGGCTCATGCCAGTGCGCTTTCAACGGTGTATATACAGTAATCTACACTTTGCCCCGTTGGAATTCGAAACGGTGAAATCGAGATTAACCCATTGCGAGAAAGAGGGTGTTGGTGCGCTGGCGGTGTTCCCTCTCGTTAAAAACTTCTCCACGTGCGAATTTTATACAGAGACGATCGTGGAATGTGTCGATTCGATTCCGCAGAGATTACCGTGGAAATTCCCTTCGCGTCGAACGGGTATCGCTATTTCTATTACAGTAGTTCCCGGTTAATTGTCGCGGAATTATACCCATCAATTTCTCGAATCACTGTACATCGTGAAACAGCTGTTAGAACCATTTCACTTCTATTTTGTAACTGTCGCGACTTGAGCCTGTGACAATTAATCGAGCAATACTGTATTCGAGTATTCAGTGAATTATTCGTACGTCATCTCAGTAAAACAGCTGTTCGAACCTTCCCTCTCTATTCCGCTCACACTCGTAAATTATCGCTACCCGACGCCCGGTGTCAATTAACCGGGGCACTTCCGTACTTTAATGTTCGTCCATTTATTCGGAAGTGGTTCCCGTGGTTAAACGGTTAATTTCGGGGATATCATTTGGAGGCCGTGATGCGATGGAGTATCCGTCCATCCTCGAATTATCTAATGTCTGCCCGCGCGCGCGCGCTCGTGGCCGAGGCATTAATCACGATGACGATCATCGTAACCCGTCAACACCGGTAACCACCGTTGACACTGTCCACTCAGGAAATCACGTGTCAGTCGCTGGGGTACGCACGCACGCACGCACGCCACGGCTGTATACATATGTCGGTCTGGGGGAAAAGGAAGATACGATGGAGTCTAGTTATCGCGTGGGTGGTCCATCGTCGTCGTTGTTCGATCGTTTGAAATTCCGCGTACGGGGGTCGCCTCTCGCGGCTGCGCGATGCCCGAATCCACAACGGGCGAGCCTTTTGCCTCGTCCATTCAGCTTTCCAGCGCAGTCACACACATACATACATTCGCACCGTCTCTGTTAGAGGGAGGGAAACGCGGTGGGGTGGGGAACATCACGGTTAGCCCAGATTTCCCGGTGGTATCCGAACGACCAGCCGCGGCGCGAGATTCTAAAGCGGCAACTCCTACGGAAGTTTTCCGCGGCGCGACTGGCCGAGTTGGCAGGATACTTTATCGGTGGACCTCGATCGATCCGCTCCCTGCTCCCGACGAGACCACGACTCTCCTCGAATGCGCTCGCAGCGATGGTATCCGGCAGCGCAGGACTGGAACCATCTGGACACCTTTACTATCGTTTTTTCCCTGGCTCTTCTGACTTGTACACTTTGGACGTTTCGATTCATTGTCTAGTTTCTCTCCATACTTTCGTTATTCTTTAAGTCGTGCTTCTGTCGACTAGAGGGAATTTTCAGACGCGTTTGAAACGACGGAACAAACTTCTTGGCATGCCTGGAACGGGGGGGGGGGGGTTAAATGTTTAATTTACCATTCTCGAGATGCTCGTTGTTTCGAGACATTTTGGGTCAGGAGTCAGTCTCGAAGCAATTGCATCGTGAATTTCTCCGATTTTCACCCCGATCCTCCGAGAGCTTTCGCGCCTTGAGTTTACTCTCTCGGTTATTGTTGTGTACACCGGATTCTCTGGGTTCAGCCTGAATACATTTTTTAACGGCGAGAACAATGGACGGGGGAATATGCGTGGTTCTCATTAATTACAAAGTCTACACTTTTCGTACCACATTATATATTCCTGAGGAGATCAGGTTAAGAATCGTACAGGTTTCGGTGGCCCCAGGGAACGTTGAACAGGGCATCGTTGTTAAGCACGGTAAAGCATCCCGTATCCGAACTAATAGGGAGACATAAGTGTTCGGATAAGGGAATTTTCAGATAGGGGAACAATCATATTTTCGATACTAAACTTCGTTTATTTAAATAGAGATCACGAAAATTGTCAGTTTGGTGAAATATTTATGGATCCTCTATTTTTTTGACAGAACACTCGGATGGTGGAACGTTCGGATGGTAGAACTTTCGAATGATTGAACGTTCGGATAAGGGAACTATCGGATAGTGGAACGTTCTACCCATATCCGAATTCAAATATAAGGGTATTCGGATAATTGGTATTTGGATAATAGGTATTTGGATAATATGTATTAGGATAATAGGTATTTGGATAATAAGTGTTCGGATAGAGGAGGCTCCACTGTACCAGACACCATCAGCGAACGTCGCAATGGTTCACCCGAAAAGACGACAGCTGCGCGGCAAAAGAAAAGGAAGATAGACAACCCTTCGGGTTTCTTCCTACCTTTTGTGTTCTCGTTTGTCATTGTCGTCGACGTCGTAGTCGCGATTCCCGTTTCGTTGGCCGAGCGTAAATACTCGGGCGTGCGAGGAGCTTCGAGGCAGAACTTGTTACCCCACTTTTCCATCTTCGGCTCTCTATCCCGTTTTCCGTTTCTTATTTCTCCCAGGTTTTGGCGCCGAGCGCAGCCCGATACTCCAACTTTCTTGCCATTTACCGTGGCTCGAGGCCCCGGAAAATCGT